AGGAACCAAGAAGCAGTGGCCTTCCTACTACAATATAGAATATATTACAAATACAATTAGTGCTGTCAGTAGGTGCATGGTGTGGGGGTCATCCACTGAAGTATGGGCAACCCCCCAGGAGTCACACCCCTCAATATAAAGGAGTCCCCCACCCCAGTAGCCTTTGGCTGCTAATAGCTCCTCAGTCAGGAGTGAGGCCTCGTGTGCCCCTCCCCAGTCCATTCCAGAATATTGATAGGCTTATCTAGTATAAGCAACCACAGCGGTTGTGAGTTCATAAGTGCAATGATGTATTTACCATGCACACACACGTGCATATGTGTGCATATGTGTGCATGCCCGGTAAACATGTGGAGGTCAGAGGACAATCACAGGGGAGTTGGTTCAGTTCTTCCACCATGTGGCAGTTGAAAATAAAGCTCATGCTGTCCCTAAGTGCCCCCTGCTTCCTACAGAGCTGTCTAGACATCGTAAGGTCCCTGAGGTGACTGATCTGTGTGACCCAAATTCAGATGCTGATATCCTAGCTCCTCAAGCAATGGTTTCAGGAGGTGGGCCTTTGGGGGTTCCTGTGGTTAGACCTCCTGGTTAGTGACCAGTGAAAGACACCCTTGATTGTTTTCTTTCCCGACTCAGTTGTCCTGCGGAACTCAGACTTGCAACCACACATCTGTTTATCTAGTCTGAACTTAATTCTCCTTTTTGTTTTTAATACACCTGAATGTACTTAATTCAGAGAATTATATTAAATGTAATAATCTGATCTTATACCTGAAAAGAAAATATCTAACCTTTTCCCCTTTCTTCTCTTTTCTTCTTCCTGTGTGTGCACAGGTGTGTGTGTGTGTGTGTATGTGTGTGCATATGCATGTGTGTGCACATGCATAATCCTGTGTACACCTCTGAGAACATGCAGGGCACAGCACAGCCCTTGGCACTGGTCTTCCCCTTCCCCGTGACTGAGGCTGGCTCTCCCCTTTTTCTGCTGCTGTAATTCTAGTGCTTGGTGGGTGGAAGCAGGAGGATCAAGAAGTTCAAGGTTATCCTTGCCTACATAGTGAGTTTGATGGCAGCTTGGGCTACATGAAACCCTATCCCAAAACAAAATAAACAACGAAAAAGGAAAGAAATGATGCCATCTTAGTTACTTTCCTTTTGCTGTGATAAAACGCCTTGGCCAAGGCAATTTACAGAAAAAAAAAGAAAGTTCATCTGGGACTTAAAGTTCCAGAGGGTTAGGGTGCATGACCGCCATGATGGTGAACATGGCAGCAGGCAGGCAGTCATGGTGCTGAAGCAGTAGCTGAGAGCTCACGTCTTGACCTGCAGGCATGAAGTAGAGAGAGCTAACTGGGAATGGTGTGAGTCTTTCGATACCTCAGAGCCCACTCCCAGCAACACACCTCCTTCAGCAAGGCCACACCTCCCAATCCTTCACAAACAGTTCCACCAACTGGGGACCAAGCATTCAAATATATGATCCTATGGGGGCAATTCTCACTCAGACCACCGCAGAGACGATCTGTTGTAGCCACAGTTACAGTGATGTGGTTCATCCCCATGTGTTTGTGAAAACAAATGTGAGCCTCGTGTTTCACAACAGTTACACAGGCTTTGGGGCTAGGGCCCCTTACACCCCATTCTGCCTTTCTCCCGCTCTCCCTCTCCACGGAGCAAATGTCTTTGTTCAGTCTTCATTTGATTCTCTTTTACTGAATGGGGTGCTGCCTGACTCCCCAATCCCAAAAGTCAATCAAGAACTTGAAATTTATCATTTTAATCTTGTGGTTATTATTTTACTGTGGGGAACTCCAGGCCACTCAAACAATGTGCCCCTTCTTTGACATTCAAAACCAAGCACAGCATCCTGTATTTTCATTTACTAAACTTGACAAGTCTAGATGGAACAGCCCTGGAGGAGCAGAAAACAGTAAAACTGTTTTTTTTTCTTATATTTAATAAATATACTCGTTTACAAACTCAGACTTTCTGAAAACTGTAATTTCTGAGGTTTTAGAGGCTTCTAAGTCGGAGGAGTGCTGAGGTGAGCCCACAGGCAGAATCTCCAGGTGGATGTTATCAGGGCAGGAACTGGACTATCCTGATCCACCCCAAACTTTCAAGACCTTGGCTGTAACCACACCTTGCCGGCTCCTCCAGGCCTTCCACTCGCCATGATTTCGCGCACATGTCACGTGAAAAACCAGATTGCACCATCATTATGTAGATAAGAAAACCGAGGATCTGAGGTGGGCAATGTTCTACCCAAGGTCAAATGGAGACCAAAGAGGAGTCAAGCAACTTAAGCCCCTGTGACTCTGGAGTTCTCGTCCCCTGCTTGGGCTCCCTGGGTCCCCAGGTGCCCATGGCACAGGCCTGTTTGTCTAGGTGGTCACTCCGATCTTGTCTCCTCTGGAGCCGGCCCTGCAAGTGGCTAACTCTCCTGGCTTCCTGGACAGGAAAGAAGGAGGCAGCAATGGCATGCCGCAGGCGCCAAGCATAGGCCTGCAGCACTAAGGTGGCACCTGCTAGCAGCTGCAGGGCACCCGCGGTCAGTGCGGCCCTGACTCGGGGCCGTTGAGCCTGAGGTAGGTGGCAGTCGTGGGGTATGGAGTATAGCTCCCACTGGAAGGAGCGCTGTGCTGAGGCAAACTTGCTCTCCACGGGAGGCTGGTTGAGGACGAAGAGGATGAAGCCTAGGAGTTTATATGAGGCCTTCAAAACAGAGAAAAGGATTGAGTCTGAGGCGCCATCGGGCCAGTCCCTATCTCTGCCATCTACAGAATGGGTCAAGGGCGCAACAACTATAAGTCAGTAGCCAGCAAAGGGGCACCTCACAAATGTTACCCAAAGTATTTTGGAGAAAACTTTTAAAGCTGGGGACGTATCAATGACTCAGACGGTAGAGTGACTGCCTAGCATGCAGGAAGCCCTGGGTTCCACCTACTTACTGGGTACACCAAGGTGGTAGCCCACTCCATTGATCTCAGCACTGAGGAGGCAGAGGTGGGTGGAGCTGTGTGATTTTGAGGCTAGCCTGGTCTGCTTCATCGAGTTTTGGGTCACTCAAGACTACATAGTGAAGACCTATCTTTTTTTTAAATATTTATTTTATTTATTTATTATGTATACAATATTCTGTCTGTGTGTATGCCTGCAGGCCAGAAGAGGGCACCAGACCTCTTTACAGATGGTTGTGAGCCACCATGTGGTTGTCGGGAATTGAACTCAGGACCTTTGGAAGAGCAGGCAATGCTCTTAACCACTGAGCCATCTCTCCAGCCCCCGTGAAGACCTATCTTTAGAGAAAAAAAAAGTCTCACCAATCGATGCTTCGGTGTTATGACGGTCTCATCAACTTGATAGAATGGTTAGCAATGTACATTCTGGGTGTATCTGTGAGGGTCACAGATCTTGCGGGGATCAGATCATGGGGGCTCTGTACTAACCAATGATTTGATTGGTTGATGGGTCTACAGCACAAAGGCCTTGTGGGAAGGAGGTGAAAAAGTAGGAGGTGGGGCCACGCTGGAGAAAGCAGTCCCTGGGGGGTGGCTGGGGGCCCGCACCTTGCCCTGGCCCCTTCCTGTGTTCCATTTCTGTTTTCTTGTTCTCCGTGCCTCCACACCATCTGCCTATGACTCCCAGGCATGTCCCAAGATGATGACTCAAGCCAGCAAACATAGACCAAAGCCCAGGACTGAACAGACTCCGACTCCGCCCACCTGAATAATTCCGAGAGCGGTCCCCTCCGCGTACTTACGTCATACTTGACCGTGAGAGTGACGGGGACGGTGGGCAACTTCTGAGCCCAGGTCACAGCTGCCTGCGCCAAGAGGAAGGCCCCATAGTCTGTGGCCGCTGTCACAGCTGTAGCGACTAGGAGCAGTGCCAGGAGCCCCAGCCTGAGAAGACAGCTCAGCAATTCCTCATGCGACAGCTTTGGCTGGGCTGCGTGGAGCAGCCAGGAAGGTGGAGAGGCCAGCAGATGTGTGGCACCAGCCTGGGCCAGCTGCTGAACCAGCTGCCGGGTGGCATAGATATTATCGAAGCGCAGGTCAGTGAGGTAGCGGTGAAGGTACCAGGCGGACTCGCCTAGGAGGCCCAGCATAAACAACCCGGTGACCACACGCTGAGTCCCCAGTGCTGCCTGGGTCAGGAACTCCAGGCCGGAGAAGTCCTCCAGGATCTGCTGAGCGGCCATATGCATGTGAAGGCGGAAGGCTGAGCTGTTGCCCTGTGCCTCAAATGCCAGGCTCCGACTGCCTGCTTGGCTCGCTGGGCCCAGCGCCTGGGATGCCAGGCCCAGCTGGTGAGTGGTATTAAGCAAACTCTCCAACGAGCCCTCAGTAACACAGCTCAGCACTTGTCCGGCTGCACCCAGGTTGGCTAAGACATTGGGCACCACGGCAACAGCCAGGTTGGCTACACTGTAGGACAGGAGTAACCGGCGGCCCTGCTCGGAGCCCAGGGTAGGCACACTGAGTGCAAACAGGCAGCGGATGGGGGGCACCAGGCTCAGGCTCAGGAAGACCAGGAGCCCACAGACAGTGGTCACCGGGGCAGGGGGTCCCTGAGGATAAAGCTGTGAAGAGACCAGCCAGTGATGAAGCAGGCCTGCGATGACGCTGGCCAGGGAAGCACACAGGAGCAGCTGGGTCAGAAGTTCGCTGCAGCTGGTTGGGAGAGGCCGCGAGAAGGCTTTCCAGGCAGTCTGCAGCGGGACAAGCGCCTTGTAGATCCCCAAACGCCAGAATTTCCATCTGCACACAAGGAAATAGGGGAACTCTGTGTCGGGAGGGGGTGGGTGTCCTCTGTTCCTCCAGCCAGGTTGCTGGCAGAACTACTCTCAGAGTCACAGGGACAGGCTCACCTTCAGATAGATCAATCAGAGGGATTCCACCCATGGGGGCGGGGTTAACAAGCTGAACCAATCAGAGCTTTGCCCAGGAAGTCTTTACAGGGCTGTCAGTCAACAGCCTAAGGTCTCCAATACTTGAGGATGTGGGGCTGGGTGTCTAGACTGGGGCCCTGGTTGCAGGCTCTGAGAGCAGCAGGTAAGTTGGGGGGGGGGATAAATATGGCTGAAAGACAGAACGTAGCAAGAAGAGAGAATGATTCCTTCCCCCACAGTCCGTGTGACTCACTGTTGGTCCCATTCATGTTCTTTACAGATCTCAGTGTCACCTCCATCATTTACAGGCAAAGAAAGGTACCAGTTGGTCTCTTGGGGACCTTTTCTCTCCAATCAGCCCTATATTAATCACATTTATTTATTTTTATTTATTGTGTATTACACATGTGTGTCTGCATGTCAACATCATTCATTCTCCACCTCGATTTCTTCATTACATTTTAATTTTGTGTGCACATGCTTACATGCCTCTGTGCATGTGTGTGCATGCATGGGGATGTGCACATGTGGGTATGTGGGGGTTTGTGTGTGCTTGCATGCCTCTGTGTGTTTATGTCTTTGCTTATGTGTGCATGTGTGTGCATGTGTATAGACGTCAGAGGACAACTTGTAAGAGTCACAGGACGACTTACTCCCAGTATCTGTTTCTTGCCCTCTATCACATGGGTTTTAAGGACGGAACTTGGCTCTCTGGCTTGGTGTCGGCACTTTACTGGCTGAGATGTCTCACGGGCCCACCATCACGTTTTTCTGAGGTGAGTCTTTCACTGGCCCGGTGCTTACCAATTTACCTAAATGGCTGACCAACAAGCCTTAGGGAGCTGTCTCTACCTCCCCAGAGCTGGGCTCGCAGCCAGAGCTGGGTTCTCGGGTGCATTCTCTCGTGCCTTGCTTTTTTTTTGCATGCGTTCTGGCATTGACATTAGGTCCCCGAGCCTGTGCAGCAGGCACTTTACTGAGTGAGCTGTCTCTCCAGCCCTCAGCGAATATCTGTTCAGCCATTAGTGTGAGCTTAGCGTTGGAGACGCGGCAGTAAGGGAAGCAGACTGACTCCGACCTCCTAGGCGCTCACACTGGTGACAGCAGAAAGGAAGTTACAACACAGCTGGATTTAGGGGTCAGTGTGGCAACATTTTGTTTGTATTTTAACAAGTAAAGCTTGCCTGAAGATCAGAGTACAGAGCTAAGCCACTAGAGTCCAGGCAGTGGTGGCACACACTTTTAATCTCAGGAGTCAGGGGACAGATGAATCTCTGTTAGTTCAAGGCCACACTGAGCTACATGAAATTGATCCAGTCTATAAGAGAAACAGCGTTCACACAAAGGTGATCCCAGCACTTGGGAATCACACACCTTTAATCTCAACACTAGGGAGGTGGAGGCAGGAGAGATATGAACAGGTGGAGGGAGGAATACAAAGTGGGAGGAGACAGGAGCTCAAGGCAGTCTGAGGAAAGGGCACTCTAAAAGGCAGACAGTCTGAGGACGGGATCGCCCCTTTGGTCTGAGCATTGGTAGAGATGAAGAACTCTCTAGATGCTGGCCGCTCTGCTTCTCTAACCTTCAGCATTAACCCCTATATCTGACTCTAGGTTTTTATTATTGAGACCAGTTAGAATTCCTGTTACAGGTCAGATATGAAACACGGACCATCTGGTTTATCACTGCTGTCTTTGTTGCAGGTGGCTGGGTGGAACTGGACATCCATCCACTGCCTCCAGGGCTTTATGTAGGAGTGCGCCCCCTATAGGCGCTTGTCACTGCTGCATACCCGGGGGGTCTTCAACCCCTGTACCCCCTTCCTGGCCCCCAAAGACATACATACTACACACTACACACAGCTTGATTCGTTTGGGAACAGGGAACTGAAATAATGTCAAGGAGCATAGATGCTTTTAAGAACCGGAAGCTATGTCAGGTGCTTAGTCAGCCGGGTATTATCAGTGTCAGGGAGTGTCATAGCTTTCTCTATGAACAGCATCCTTGCACACCCCTCTTGTTCTGTTCCCTCACAGCCTTACAGCCATGGCTGTTGTTTCCATCCGACCAGGAGGAAACCGAGGCCAGAAAGGGGAGGGTTCGTTGGTGGTCTCAGCTGGTGAGGGGGAAGACTTGAGACTGGAGTTCATGCCCGTTTCAAGGGGCTGCTGACTTTTCTTGCCCGTGCCCCTTGTGTCCCAATCCCTGAACCTACCCCGACCTGATGAGGTGTTCCGCGGCTCCTCTGCTGTCCCCCATGGTCTTTGAGAGCTGAGTTCAGGCAGCTGCCACCACAGCCATGGCAGGTGGAGAGGAAGTGTGGGGATCGTCCGGTCGCTTCTGCTTTCGTCCCTTTAATCAGACCCTCCTGGCTGCCTCATCCTGCCCAGCCAGAGGCCCAACTCTTGGGGGCTGGGCCAGCTGTCTCATCCTCTCCTGAAAGGCAGTCAGGAGCCGCCAGGGGTGGGAGGAGGAGGAGGGTGAGAGGAGACATAGTTTCCGAGCATTGCCTGTGATCCTGAGGGCAGGAAGGTAGAATTAGCCCATTTCTCGGAGGAAGAAACTGAGGTTCAGGGAAACCATGCAGCTCATTCACAGTAACACCAGACTAAGAGCTCCACTCTGCTTCCCTGTCCCTCCTCCCATAGTTAAGCCTCCCAGGAAAACCCGATCCTTGATTCTGGGGATGAAAACCTGCAGGAGACCCACAGGGACCCGCTAAGACCACACTGTGCTGTTCTTAGCCACCACGTACAGACACGGAAAGAGAATAATAAATGCAGCCTGTACTGGAAACTGTAGGTGCTCAATAGTTGCATGAGTCCCTGTGGTGATTGGGGGGTAACTCCAGTCCATCCCCACCTGGCACGCAGGGACTTCTCCCTAGCACCAGTCCCCCATCACTGTCTATGCCAAGACTGCGCCCAAGAGGCCTCCTCCGTCATGGGAATCCCCCACCACCACCACCACCACACATACACGAAGAACAGAGCTGACAGCCAGCCATCTTCCCTTATAAGGATATCCTGCTGAGTCATGGGCTCAGGCCTGATAGGGAAAGGGACTTCCCTAGTACATAATTGAGGGAGACACCTGCAACCAAACCTTCAGGAAGCAGTGAACCCCTCCAGGAAGCCAGGAGCCTTCACTCATCCACACCCACCCATGCCCAAGAAAAGTTTTGGCACACAGTAGAGCCCAGAAGCTGTCAATCCTCAGGTCTTATGGGGCTGCTACTCTCCTAGAGTTCACATCAAGTTGCCTGGGTACCAGCTATCTCCATGGGACACTCACAATTCGGTGCCAAAATGACCAAGGTTGTAAAGCCAGGAAAGAAGGAAATAGTAAACAGGGAAGGGAAGAGAGGGAGCAGACAGACAGACACACACACTCACGGAGCGGGGGCCGAGAGACATTAACACTTTTATTTTGCTGGCCAGTCTTATAGGAGGCTTGGGTCCTCTGCTGTCTAGTGGGCTTCAAGGAGCTATTCAGCTGGCCTCTTTGTAGAGACAACAGATCTACCTGCAAATGCAGGCTTCCACACGTTGTGCTATGTGACCTTGAGCTAGGGCTGTTCCTCTCTGAAGTCTCGGCAGCATCTGCTACATGAGAACAAAGCACCTATTCCATGGGTTTGGAAATACAAAGTATTCATCAGGCAGTACATAAATGTTTACACTATAAACCCTTCCCTCTGGGTTTCAACCTTGCATGGGTGAAATCCAGGCTGCTCAGACCAGATGTCCTCCATATCCCCCCAACCCTATCTCCACACCCCAGCTTGGGTCTCATCAGGGTTTGGGACTGCATCCCATAAACCATGGCCAGCCTCTGCCCAGCTCCGTAGGTGGTTGGTTAGGAAACAGAAACCATTTGGGGTAGCCCCAGGTGACTGAAGGGGAGCTGCAGCACAGAGCCTGGGGAGCAAAAGGCAGGAGATATTTGGGGGTTCTTTGGGCATACGTGCATCGTCACCTCTACTCAGGCAGGGCTGGCCTGGCCTCAAGGCCCACAGCATCCGGAGGGGCTTGAGTCACCAGAAGTCAACAGGGCTGGGCTGGGTGTGGGAGTTTAATCTTAAAGGAATCAGAGGCACGAGATGAAGAGGAAGTAGAGAGTCTTCGGCTGTTCTCAGGGCCACTCAACTCACAGCCCATGTTGTGTCCTGGTTCCCGGGGCCACTCAACTCACAGCCCCACAGTGCCTTGTGTCCTGGTGCTTTTTAGCGCAGGGGGGAGAGGGTGGCCGCAGCACACATAGCTGAGAACACCCGGGAGGCTGTAACCTTCCCAGCAGGCTGTGGAGACGGCTCAAACTCTAACGTCTTTACTGTGTAAGCACGAGAACCTGAGTACTAGCCCCAGAATCCATGGAGAAAAGGCAGCCAGCAATGGTGACATACACTCATAGTCCAACCTGGGCAGGTGGAAACAGTGGGGTGCCTGGAGCTTGCTGGCTGGCTAGCCCGACTGAACTGTGTCTTGAAGTTTAGTGTGGTCAGGGGACAGCTGCTGAGGGTTGTCTCTGGCCTACAGGCACTCACATTAGTGCACCCATATGCACATGGACATGGACACACACACACACACACATCTTACCAGAGACAACCTAACAGAATCAGAATGGGAGCCACCAGCAAGAGCCATAGAAGTTTCTGGTAACAAAATAAAAACTGAAAACCAGGCAGGGTAGTGGTGGTGCACACCTTTAATCCCAGTACTCGCGAGGCAGAGGCAGGCCTGGTCTACAAGAGCTAGTTCCAGGACAGGCTCCAAAGCTACAGCAAAACCCTGTCTCAAAGTAAAAAAAAAAAAAAAAAAAAAAATCAAAAACAAAAAAACAGAAACCGTTTATTAATGCATGTGTGTGTCCAAGAACAATCTGAAGAGTTAGTTTTATCCTTCCACAGTATGGGTCCTAGGGATTGAACTCAGGTCAGAAAGTTTTGCAGCAAGCACCTTTACCTGCTAGGCCATCTTGCCTGCCCTGAAATCCCTTATAATAAAGTATTTGTCCCACTGAATGTATCCCAGATATGACCTGCTTAGCATGTAAGAAATACACAAGAGCATGACAGGATAATTTATATTTATTTTTGTATCACTGCAAGTACCCGAGGGGAGTCCCTCAAGCTGTGACCTAAATGTTAGGTGGGCAAATGGCAAATCCCAAGCCCTAGGAAGACAGGTGTGCACCACCACACCCAGCTTGGCATTTTGTTTCCCAAGAAAGATAGAAACCCACATTCAGAGGTGTTGTTCCTGACACTGAAGTTTGGTGACAAGTGTCTAACTGGAGGCAAAGGAGAGAGAAGAAGGAGGCACTGCTATGGGACTGGGGAGCACTCTGACATGGTGAGCCATGTGCCGTGGGGCTGGGGAGAAGTCTAACATGGTGAACAATATGCTATGGGACTGGGGAGCATTCTGACGGGGTGATCCATGTGATATGGGACTGGGGAGCACTCTGAATGGGGTAAGCCATGTGATGTGGGACTGGGGAGCACTCTGAATGGGGTAAGCCATGTGATGTGGGACTGGGGAGCATTCTGACGGGGTGAGCTACGTCCTGTATGGCTGGGGAACACTCTGACAGGGTGAGCCATGACTGTAGGGTCTGTTCCTTTCACTCCTCCTCCCTTCCCTGTGCCCAGGAGTGACCTAGAAAGGCCACAGGAAGGCTCTGTGTGTTCTGGTGGATCATGTGGCATAGAGTGTGCCTGCTTGGCCAAGTCATAGTACCAATGGTAGTTCAACATTATTCTGGCTGTT